TTGGTGCCTCTCCTCAAACACCCTGATACTGSATGATAGTGAGCTTCCTTGAAAGACAGCTGGGGGATAGCAGTATGGAAACACTGATATCTTGTAAAATGGGCCAAGAAAAGATGACCAGATGCTAATAAGAAAAAGTGATGAGTGCAACCTGGTGATATAAACCCACTACATTTCAAAAGCATGTAGCAGAATGAGAGTCCTAGAGAGCATTCAAACTCCACTGCTCTGCTCCCCTTCCAGCCACTGTGACTGAGGCCACCCTGAGTTGATAGACAGGATTGAAGGTGTAAATCAGTATTATCTGAACATGGGTAGGAGTAAACGCACCAGTTCACCTGCACTGAGTAAACCCTTGGAGACTGATCATGTGTGAGTAAACAGTGACTATTTAATTATTTTAATTCCTGATGATCCTAGATTTGCTTGCAGAAAATGAAGGATCATTTTCCTTAGTGACATGTTGCAGTAGATATATTAAAAAAGCAAATTGCACTTGGGAGTTACAGATAAATTGACATGCTCTTAAATACATGTTTCTTTTCCTTTCTTGTTCTCTAATGAGTTTGTAATTTAATCAGAGAAACTGCCAAATTCCCTCCAAATACTAGTGGGAATCTCGAAGGAGGAAAGCTGCTTATGCAAGTGTTCCTGTAAAACAAAGAGTATTCAAGTATGGTAAATAAATTYCAGAATTAAAAATGGTATTCAGTTGTCTCCTTAAAAGCTTGAACCCTACATATCTTAATATTGRTGGATCTGGTTCTGAGCTGAACATCAACAAAAACATTTTCTATTATGAATAAAACCGTAGCATTTCTGCAGGGCAAAAGCTCTGCTTTTGGGTAAATTACCAAGGGACATTATTACAGCATTGACAAGTGTACGACAGAGTTATACACAGATTTACTCCAATGAATCCATCCATAAACTGGATCTGCAGAAAAGCCAGAGGATGGGACTCAGTACAGCCCAGCCTCCCTGGTGGAAGCACCTACCCAGAGCTGCTGTGTGCCCTCCCACCCAGGACAAGGGCCCTCACCCACCCCAAATCCACCACAGCTTCAGGAGTATTTCAGGCTCACTGCTGGCACAAGGGGTGGGCTGACTAAAAAGACAAAAAAGCCCCAGCCCCCTAAGTAGCAAATATATTTTCTTTCAGAGTAATTTATTCAGMTGCTGAGATGGATTTAAATTTAGAAGAGATAATGTGAGAGCAAGGAAGTGTCAAAACTGAGGTTACTTTTCATTTGCGTACTGTGAGTTAGAGGTTTCTATTGCAGCTGGAACTGCAACTGCAGCTGAGACGCGGTAAGAAAACCCTGGGGCTTAAATACAGAAGCTTCAAGGCGAGAAGAGTATAAAAATAAATTCCAAAGGGCTTAATAACATTGTGGAAGAGACTGGATATTCTGATGTCAGGAAGAAACTGGTGGCTCTTAGATCAAAACCTAATCATTCAAAAGCAATAAGAGCCTTTGTTTTGCCCAGCTAGTCATTCTGTTACCCACTGGGATCATGKTTTTTTTACAAGCATCCCAAATCACAGTTAATTTACAATGTATAAATGTACATGTCACTGACAATACAACTGCTAGAGCAAAAATGCTTTAAAATTAACATGGTTAAACCTTCAGCAGTCTGATCCAAAATCTGCTAGGAACCTTTAGCCTGACTTCAAAGGAATTTTTATCAGCATTTTAGTGAACTTCTCCTACAAAAATAAGTTTAAAAATGGGAGCTGTACCTCACTGCTTACTGCCAGGACTGTCCTTCGCATGGAATTGAAGACAGGCAGAGCCTGCAGACAGCTCAGGCCACCTCTGCAGGCAGCATAGTGTGAGAAACCTTCCTGAGGTTGCAGCACAGGACACCCTCTGATGCTCTGAAGCAAAACCAGACGAGGGCAAAATGTCTGCTCTTTCTTAGCTTCCCATCCCAGAAGACTTTATTTATGCATTAGTCGACCTTTCTAGCTGTTAGGACCATCTTGCTTCAGCAGTTAATTAACACAAGTGCCATAATTTAATACAGTTAATGCTACTTTATGCCCTTTAATGTACCTTCCATTAGTGATATTATTGTAGTATTACCCTGTAAATTAAAATAAGATCAAGAATAAGAGAGGCTCTCTTTAATTAAGGTACTGGCACACTGCATCGTCCATTATTCACTGGAAAAAAATCACCCTGATTTAGTGAAGCAGACCATCAGTAAGTCAGAATTAGTTCATGTGGATTATTAGGTTTCTTGAATAATGTGAGCACAATGGGGTTGCTGAAATTGCTAACAGCCACGTTTCCTTTTTTTTCATCACCTTAATAAATACAMAATGAAAGTGGTAAATTGAAGAAGAATAAACAGGTGGTAATGGAGGAGGAAAAGCATTCATTGAGAGTACACAGGTTTTCATYTCTAATGCAGCATACATCAGGCTTATTTCACACCAAAATGCAAAGCAATGACAAAACAAACCCTATATTAAGGGGGCAAATCTCCTACCTATAATTCATTGYGAAGTATTAACCACCCCAATATCCTGTATATTTAACATAGAGGCTTTATGATAGATGCTTTTCACTGTCATTGGTTCTTAAAACACAGGGTGAAACCAATTACATTTTATGCTGCCTTTAGAAATATCCTATTATGAGCTTTGGTGATTTTAACTATACTTAACCTACAGGTTATGTTTTTCAGAAAAAGGACAAGCTTTAAAGTGTGTCTGTTAGCATCCCTCATCCACTATGTGTCAAGCTCCTTGGCAACCTCCCTTTGTATCCTGTCTTCATGGAATAATCAAGTCTAGTTTTACCAAATTTATATAAATAGCTGGGTCTCAAAGCTCAGAACATGAAACTTGGTAGCAAAATAAAATGATTTTGTAACAATTTCCAGTTAACATCCTAWATTAAGGAGCAAGAGCTGGAAAGCTCAGCTAAATTGGAAGCAGTGGCACAACTACYCTGGTAACCCTTGCTTCCCTCCACCAGTTCCCAAGCTCAGGGCATGCCAGGGCACATACTAGGAATGTTGATTGGGAGACTCTGGAGGGGACAGGCCATAAGGGTTCTGGAAGAGACAAAAAATACCTAAAACTAGGTAACAGTGGGCTTATTGCAAGTTACATTTGGTACAACCAGGGGTTGTGCTTTGCAGCCCCACAGCTACTCAGCAGCAAACAAACCCTAAAGACTCTAATAAGGCTCACAAGGTATTGAAGGAAATGGCACCAAATCCCAAAAGAGCTGTTCTCATTAGCAGCAAAGTGATAAGAATTCACATGAATCTTATCTAGTGAGGTACTATTACACATCAGATACTTCTTTTAAAGCATGAGCCCAATTACTGCAGCATTTAGACAACAAGCATCAGCATCAGATAAGTTCTCTGTACAGTCACGCTTCATTTCTATAGATAATTTTTCACAAGATTGGCAAACCCCAGATGTGCTCAGAAGGTTCCTGGTTCTAATTTGCATGCAATGCACTCTTTTTTAATCCTTCAGATGTTTTCTTTGATAAAGTAATGATAATCTAATTGAAGTCAGACTAAGCTCCAAATGGGTTTTCAGATGGGGAGCAGGCTTTCTTTAAAGCCTAGGGACCTACAAATCCTGAGCTTTGATAAGATGCCTCAGTAGAGCTAACCTAYGTGGAGCCCAGTGGAGAAAGGATACACGCTAAATAAATGGGTGTTATTTTTTTATACTGAGGCTAATTTACCAAACTATTTCAAACAGTATCTTAAGATGTTCATGATCCGCTTAGCCCTCCCAAGAGACTTCTGAAAAATAATTTACAATGTAACTAATTAGCATTGCAAGAAGAATTCTTAAAAAAACAGCAACATTTATCTTAGACTTACAAATGTTAAGAATAGTAGTTATGCATGTATGGATACATATTTGGTGTGGAAACAGAAGACAGAAACTGCACGTTAAATCTACAGTCCTAAGAAATGCATTTTGATGATTTTCACTACAGGAATAATAAAAAAATAGCACTGTTTTATATAATAACTGTAATTGGTTTTTTTTTTTCACTCAGTCCTGAGTCTGCAAAGGAAGTCCCTGGCCTTCCAAAATAGATTAGCTTTCCTGTTTGTTCTGGCACTTGGATTCTCTTAAAGGAATCAAAAGTTTTTTAAAAAGGAAGTCTTAAACTCCATAGGAGAAACAGAGGAGGAAGAAAAGGTATATTAGAGTGATGAGTGAATTGCTAATAGAGATGATCTCATTTATTTGTTCTGAACAAATTGGCATCCAAAACACATGCAAAGGGATCACCCTCCTGCTTGAGGGTGTCAGTCAATTGCYACTTTGACTTGGTAAGAAAATTTCCTGATGGGAAGGTTATTATTTTTGGGACTACAGCACCTGATACCAGCCACCACTTGCCCTAGAGGGAACCATTTGTCTTGAACCCAGCTGAATAATCATCTTTGTCATATTCAAATCAGTGTCTCTAAAACACTGTTGGGGTTTTTTTTCCATTTTAATTCAGCTTCTCTGCATTTCAGGGCTAATTAAAGTACAAGGAAAGGACTCTAATCTCTGCTGCYTTCCTTGTTCACAGTTGGACCTAGCATGAAGGGTTTGTGCAAGGGCTGCTGTATCAATCACTGCTTACATTGAGGGCCTGGAAAAGTCAAATGATAAAACAGAATCTCTTTTTAGTTACCTGCCACTGGGTCAGACTCCAGCTACATAAGAGGAGAAACTGTCCCACTGCTCAGGTGAATTCCTGAACCAATGCATGAACCAATGCCATCCTCCCTGTGAGACCTAGGGCTGAAGATCCAAGGTGAGTGCCAGCAAACACCCAGACCTTGTGCTGCTGAGTCAGAAACTTCTGATATGACAGCAGTGGCCTTCTGCTGAGCCAGATTTCCAATGAACATTGGCAGAAAATGTCATATTGTTAAAGAAAATAAAGGGTTTTGAATAACTTYTCAAATCAAACACACATGCCTGTTTCTAAAGTTATATATTCTCTTACCTTCCATATACCCTTATGTCTGAAATTGCATAAAAGTAGCGTGCCAGATGTTGCTCATCTACATATATTTCACCAGTTGCTGGCCTAAGCAGTCTTATCCTCAGATCTGTGATGGTAAAGAAATCTCTCAACTTCTTGGTGGTGTCAAGCTGGCCATAAAGAGAAGCCATGTTATGAAGCCGAGGTCCAGCAAAAAAAGCAAATCTATCTTTGATTTCAAAGTGGATTATTTTACTATTTGTCATGTACCCAGTAGAGTATTCCTCCGTGCAAATGATTTCTAGGACTGTGTGCTGTGACAAGTCCCTCACTGATTTTGGATCCATGTGAAAAGCATCTAAGCAGTCCGTGGCATAGTATTGGTAGGGCTGCCATGTTCGTCCATAGTCGAGTGATTTCTCCAGGATCATTTGGTCTGGACGGCCMGATTCAAAGGTGATAACTATGTTATCTGTGAGCTCAATGGTTTTGTTCCAGGAGAGCGTAATATTAACGTGAAGAGGCTTTGGATAGTCCTTCCAAGTTGTGGACTGCCAAAATGTGGAGGGATGTCTTCCTTCCAGATCGAACATCAGTTCTGGAGGATGAGCCAGTTCTTGGGTACTYGCATCACATTCATTATTGCACATGTAGGGATTCCCCTGGAAAAGAGCAAAGCACTGTTACAAGGGGCACCATAGAGGTGAGTGTGACACCTAAGACATTTCTTGAGTGAGAACTGCTTTTCTCCAGGAGGGAAGCCAAGAAAGAAAAAAAGAACAAATGCTTGCAAGTAATATCTTTATCCTGGCTATTTTACCTGTTAAATAAATATAAAAACACAACATAGAGAGCAACCTTGCTTCTGTAATATGAAAATTTTTCTTAGTATATGTTAAAGAAAGAAAAAAAAAAACTTATTTAACCTGAACAACACAAAGCAGGGAGGGATTGAGTCACAAAAGACAGAGAACAGTGTGCAAGTCTCTAATAGCTCAGTAACTCCAATTCTTCTTAGAAAGATGCAGCAGCCAAAGAGAATTTCTTTTTGAAACAATCATGTTCCTCAGAGCTCTGCCCAWAAGAGAACTAATTTTTAGGGCAAGTGTATTTTGTTAGCAGTCAGCCTGTGTGTACTCAGTATGAGCCAGTATTCAGTACACTTTCAAGTTTCCTTTCGCCCAGGTGGGAAATTTATCATGCTTAACTCTGCTCCCAGCTCAACACCTCCTTGCCTTAAAACATTTRCTCTTGCAACCAAAGGCCATTAGAAAAACAGTGCTCTGTCAGCTCTGGGGCTTGATTCAGGTATCTGCCATCTTATTACAGGGTACCAAAGTACTTCAGAAAAGACTTTTCACGAGGCACAGGTTCAATTTATCAGGACAAGATAATCCAGCACTTGATTAGGTGGGAGATGTCAGTGTCTCCAGCTGGAACACTGCCGAGGTGGCTGGAGCTCTGAACTGAGGGTTGAGTTAAAAACAGCAACAAAAAAAGCTTGCCAATAGTGCACGGCTTTTACTGTTGCTTGTCCTCTGTAGCAAGGTGAAAGTGAATTATTATGTTTCTGGCCTTTTGATGCATTAACTTTCACTACAATCTTCTGGTTCTTCACAAAGGCTATTTTGTCTGCAGATTGGGGATATCTTGCAGCAGTTGCCAAGATATCAGATCCTGTGGCTGCACTGAATCACGTATATCTAATTTCAGCTTTCAGCAGCACATTAGTATTTTGCTACTTGTTCATTCTGTGTTCGTTCCAGAGAGCAACTGCTGCCCTGTATCCTTCCCTCCGCCTGACTGTGGCAGAAGATTGTGGAAGAAGCCTCTATTCACTGATAGTCAGCACTGCTGGGGAAAAATATGCACATGCTTATAGCTAGCAGAGCWCGATGAGGTAAAAAATGTAGCTGTTTTTGTCATTAATCAGAGTTCCTTGCACCTACCCTGAACAGAGAAGCCCTGGTATGATGCTCAACCTTTCCTTTTCTTATAATTACAGTTATTCTTCTCTCCATCTCAAAGCCTGAGGGCAATGAGGCGACTCAGTGCCATCCAGTGTGGAAGAAAACRAGTTTCAAACATGAACTCCCACCTTGGACCCCGCTCTGCTCCCTGACATACTCCACAAAACAGAAGCAGAAGAACTTCTGCACCCACTTTGACCTCCCTACCGGCAACTTCCTCTTACCTGGGCTGGGAAGTACTGTTTTCTTTCTCTTTCTTGTTAATACAGCTGAATGCTAAAACTGACAGTGATTCACTGGGACTGGAAGTAAGGGAAAAAAAACTACAAGACAACAAAAAAGGGTTATTTGAAAACCAGCATGCTGCTTGTTACACTGACAGCTTCAAAGCATGCAGCTGTAACTGGAAATACTCTGCAAAATATTGTCTATAATAAGTCTGTTACAGCTCTGATTTCAAGCTCATGGTTGCTATTTCTATGCCTTCCTTTTGAATAAAACAGTGAAAATTAAAAGTAGGTTTCAAGCAGAAGAGAGAAAACACAGAATTTTTTAATACATAAACTCCATTTAATATATCAGATACAAATGCCAGAATTTGCTAACTTACACAGGCCTGTTTTCCTCRGGGATAATATATATATTGTGAAATCTGTAAGGACCCAGACCCTTTGACTGATGTAAACATCAGTTTATCAGAAAATGCTCAGATTGCATTAACTACACCTGTCTGATATTACCCAATAAAACTGGTCACTTATATCTCTGTACCTCTACCCTATATGCATTATGCTTTGGTGAAAGCAACTACACTGGGAAGTCACAGGTATCAAAACTCAGCAAAAAAAATGCTCCCATGCAGCCAGACAGTGCATTAAGGACTGCTGAGGGATGGCTTTAGTTCCCTGCTCCACAAGCAATCAGAGTYTGTTGTGATTCTTTGTGCTAAAAACTAAAGCCACTCTGATCCGCTAGTCTCTGGATGCTGGAGGAAGCATGTTTTATGACTTCCAGCTGGTAACCCAGCTTGTATAGGATGTAGTGTTCCTTTCTGTATATTAGTTGATTTATTTTACTCCTTTTGCCTTTTGCTTTTTAGCAAAAGCTGAGGTGCCAACAGAATCAGAGAATAACTGGGAGAGTGGGCTTTAAAAACACCTCACAAGCTAATGTGAACAGATTCAAACACTGAGAGCTGGTAGCCCTAGCTTGCAACTGAAATGTAGTCTACAACTCTGTGCACAAAGCTTTTCTGGGAAAGATGAGACYATTCATGGCAGAGTATTGTGAGAAACAGGTCAGAATCACAGAGCTGTCCTGCACCTGAAATTCTTACCAGTGCTAACAATGGTGACAACCTGCCACTGAAACACTAGGGTAAGGACATCACTGCAAATGAGAATCTTAATAAGAGCTTCAGGCATATCCTTCCCAATAAACTGAATTATTCTTTTAATTTTATGGCACAGAATTCTCTTCTAAGAGGTGAATCATTTGATGACACCCAAATGACCTGTGTGTTCAAGTGCCTGAAAAAGAAAACTAGGAGAAAAAAAATCTAAGCTGATTATAAGCCTGTAAAAAAATGTCCTGAATTCTAACACCAGGAGGGGGAGAAAAATGATGAGTTTATGTAAATTCCCCTGTGTCTACTGACATGGCAATTGCTGATGTAATTTTGAAATATTTAACATAATTATTGCTTCAGAGGCTTGGAATCAGGTTCCCATTTTCTCTACCAGCAACTTGGCTTTCAACAGCTTCTAATTAATCTTAAATGTAATTTGCATGGTAAGTCATACTTACATTACCAAAACAGTGTAAAAGGGTCTTACTCTACACAAATGTCCCTTAGTACATGTTATTATGAAAACAATTAATTTAACTGGGATTAGTTACATATTTTAATGCCTTGATCTCTATGATAATCCTCTTTAAGACTTTTGTCTCAGTAAAATGAATACAACAAACTTTGCCCAATTTGTGGAAACTAAGCTCAGTCTGTGTTGGGGCCATCTGAAGGAGCAGAGCATTAGCATCTCTAAGTAATTTTGTGACTAGCAGGCAGCCGTAAATATATCTTCATTTAAGCCTTCCGAGGAGCAGCTCTTCAGTAGGACAAGGTGGAAAATATTTATAACTTTTCAAAATGATATTTAAGCCATTAGGAGAGTTSTAAATAATTAAACACTGACAAATACTTCTAAACACTTTACTGCCAATTAGCATAAAAGGTAGCTGAGTCTTCCCCAACACCATGACCACGACCATCTAAAAGAAACCTGCTATTTTCCTGTACAGTAATGGGAGATTGRTATTAAATAGCTCCTTGTAGGCAGRCAAATTAAAYTGCTATTTATTTTGGTTTTGGCTGCTCGTGGAATTGAAAATATTACTGAAACTACTGACACAGTCTAAGTGTGTGCTTTAGGAAGAGGCACCCGATTTGCAGGCACAGCGAGGGCATGTGGCTGTATCCCATGACCTGATCACCGTCAGCCCTGGCTGGAAAAASCAGTTACCTGGGAAGCTCCTGAGTGGGGCTGACTGGTCCCAGTAGGGTCTCCCCTCAATCAGCTGGATTTAGTTTGTTTTAGCACACAGCAATGTCTCTTTGTGCCAGCCAGCCTGAACTGTTATGGCGGTGTCAGAGGTGCCCTGTGCAAGTGTCTTTGGCTGGGACAGGGCAGCAGGGCTGGCCTTGCTCCCGCTGGGCAGCAGTRTGTCCTGCCAGGAGCCTCTCCAGGAACAGCACAGTGACCCCAGGGTGAGGATTTAGGTCAAAAGCAGAGGTCTGGCAATAGTGTGACCTTTGAAAGGCAGCAGGGGAGCAGCAGTGCTGCAGCTGCCATTCAAGGGTTGAATTCTGAGTGCCGCTGCTCAGGTGAAGCCTCTGGTCTCTCACCTGTACAGCTCCTCAGTGGCACCCACACAGGCTTAGGGGGTGATTGAAGATGTTGCTTTTTTCAATGTTTTCCCTGTTCACTTTAAGACCTCTTGGACTTTTTCACTCAGGAGCAAAGACAGAGGGGCTTAACTCTTCTGTTCGTGAATACTGGAAGCTGTATCATATTACATTACATGCTGTAATGGACACCTGGCTAAATCCCTACAGAGGATTAGAACTTGCATTTTCAAACTGGTGAGGGCTGCTGAGGTCAAGCTGGCCAAGATTTTAAGAAGAACCAAAATAAATTTTCAAGAAGTGAGTCACAGCAACTTATTTTCGTACCGCTGCCACAAGGTAATTAGCTCAGATGCACAAGACAAGAAGTAAACRCAGCCTTACTCACGTTTGGAGTGTGGTTGTGTGGTAAATTATTGCATGCAAGTCACACTTTTGGAAATAACAGTATTTCTGTTTTCCTTTTTGGGAGATCATTACCATTAGTTCACTGGGTGCCATGCTGTACATTGTGGATGACTAATTAGACAGTAATAGCTAACAGMAGCAATTACCTTAATGCTTACATTTTGCATGTGGTTTCTAACCAGAAATTACTTGTTTACCATGACAGAGCCAGATTATGAAACCATTAATTGTGAGATACTTCTTAYTAGGTGTTGTCCTACTAAGGGCAAACAGTCAGTGAGGTGGAGGACTGGCAAGGCACAGGATCTGCTGCGTGATAATTGATGYTCTCAAATGCACTACATCCATTAGCTGGTTTGAGAGCACCTCGGTCAATGCC